GAAAAAAAGTGAAAGACAAGAAATGAATACCATCCAATCTGGTCCAGTCAAATTATATGTTCATGAGACTGCATAGAGCCTGTATGTGACTTGGAGATTTCAACATGTCTGATTTTGCACTTTCAGCCAAATATAAATGCATTAAATGTTTATCACCTTGAAGTATCTTCCTAAAGAGTTCCCACGGGACAAAAATTTCTTCTGTGCCTTATATCTCAACTTCAGTCTTGAGACCTGAGTGGCAGAGGTGAGCAGCATCCACTCTGCTGCAGTGCGTGGAGCTACTGGTGTCACTGTGGGCCATGGGTGGCCACGACCACAGCTGCAAGCAGCATTTACGTGGTATGGAAACCAAGCAGGAACATAAACTGGATTTGCAATTAGGTATTACTGATAGAATATGCAGTCATATTCTACTGGAAGAGTTACATTAAATGAATTCAAAAGACCCTGCCACAGAAGATCTTATTCAAACCTTGCAGATCCTTTTGTGTCTTTACATCTTTTTAATAAAGAGAAATATGTAAAAAAGAAGAAACAGAAATTGTCAGAACAGAGCTATTACAAAGAAAATCAAAGGAAGTGAAGGAGAAGAAAAAAGAGAATTAGAGCAGTGACTTTACAAAAATGACTTATGTAAAGAGGCAGGAAAAGCAGAAGAAAGACTGTATTGCTTACTAAGTTGCACATAAACATCAAAGACCAGAGAGCTGACTTCTAGTCCTGAATTTGCCAGACTGAGCAGATGACTTTGGGCAATGCATTTAGTTCCTTTTTGCCTTAATTCCTTCTTTAACATAGAGGGCGAAAAAAGCCTGGCAAGCTCTTTAAAAGGAAAGTATTTCTAGAAGCAAAGGTAATTAAGAAAAGACAAATTAAGTGCTAGGGTTCATACATTTATTTTTGTCTACTGCTATGCTATTTGGACTGATGGCTCAAACTGATGTGCTCCTGGTCCTAAACTGGGGAAAGGAAATAGCTTTAAATGAAGACAAAGAACAGTGTAACATCTTTTACGAGTGCAATAACGGCTTTTTTTGTGAGAGCAAATGATATTTCTATTAGATCAAATAAGGAACACTTAAATATTCATAGTTCTGACAGCTTCTGCTAAGAAACAAATAGTGTAATCTTGCTAATTGAGAGATGAATGCACCACCTGAAAAATGCATGTCAGATCTATAGATCTAGGATTATTTTGATTTATGTAATTTATCCTCAGCCAAAATCAGCTCTTCACCACAACTAAGTAAGAAACAATTCTGTTTGATCAGAACAGACAGACAAACAGCAGTCATGGAGACAGAAGTACGAAATTATTTGTTCCTGGTCACAGAGGCTGTCACTGATGGAGGCAGAGTAAGAGCACAAGTCTCTGTAAGACCAGATACATACTGACTGCTGGGGCACACTGCCTTTCAAACCAAAGCCTTTGGGGAATGGGAGGAAATGAATCTAGCATCTCTATCCTTTGTCACGTAAGGAGCAATCCTTTAATTGAGGTGGTGTTTCCCTACCTGTCATGTATTTGAGTGTGAGGGCATTCTAAAACATCTCTCTGCTTTACCAGCTTCCCAGAAAGACTGTAGTTAGATGGTCTAGTGCCTCTGTGGTCCCTAGCAGGTTTACTATGCTGCTTGTCTTTTTATGTGAAGCCTTCTGGAGCTGCGTAAGTGCATGCGAAAAAGCAGTATTTTCATAGAATCAGAGAATCATAGAATGGTTACAGTTGGAAAGGACCTTAAAGATTATTGAGTTCCTACGCCCCTGCCATGGGCAGGGACACCTTCCACTAGCCCAGGTTGCTCAAAGCCTCATCCAGCCGGGCCTTGAACACCTCCAGGGATGGGGCATCCACAACTTCCCTGAGCAGCCTGTTCCAGTGCCTCACCACCCTCACAGGAAAAAATTTCTTACTGATATCTGATCTAAATCTATCCTCTTTCAGCTTAGAACCATTACCCCTCATCCTATCATGACACTCCCTGATCAAGAGTGCTTCCCCATCTCTCCTGTAGGCCCCCTTCAGGTACTGGAAGGCTGCTATAAGGTCTCCCTGGAGCCTTCTCTAGGATAAACCCCAGCTCTCTCAGTCTGTCTTTGGATAGGAGGTGCTCCAGCCCTCTGATCATCTTTGTGGCCTTCCTCTGGACTCGCTCCAACAGGTCCCTGCCTTTCCTGTGCGGAGGACTCCAGAGCCGGATGAAGCACTGCAGGTGGGGTCTCACAGAAGCAGAGTAGAGGGGGAGAACTACCTCCCTCAACCTGCTGGTCACACTTCTTTTGATACAGCCCAGGACTCGGCTGGCTTTCTGGGCTGCAAGCACACATTGCTGTTTCATGTTGAGCTTCTCATCAACCAGTACCAAGTCCTTCTCTTCATGGCTGTTCTCATTTTTACTTGTATTTGAAGCACAATAAAGAAAACATGAGTGAACTGTTCAGATACTCATTGATATAACATTATAGTTATTCAAAATAGAAAATGTAACAAAGGTATTTCGTAAGTTCCTCTTCCAAGCATACATTTTTATATACTCTACATCATTCCCACACTTGCCTAAGGAAGAATAATGCAGCCTTCTCCCTGAGATGGGTTGGAGTGTGAAAGGACAATGCAGTATTTTAGAATGTAGAAGAAGAAGCCCTTGCTTCTTTCTGTTCTTCATGTAATTTCTTTTCAGACAAAAAGCTAGGCACATTTTGAATGAACTGAAAAGAAAACCTGTATATTTGAATTTGTAAAACTCAGATTTTGCCTTTTTTTTTTTTTTTCTGAGAAGCTTAATAAATAATAAATGACAAAATGTGCATTTAAATTCATCTAACTCTATGGCTTATTGACATGTAAAGTGATTTTTCTATCTTTTCCTTGGATGAGAAAGACATTAAAAATATGCTCTTTTTGCAAAGAGTGCTTTTCCCCTTTTTAGAGAGAATGCCAGCATCTCCAACTGTGTCAGTCCTTAGTCTGAAGCTGTGAAGAATAAGACTCCCATTTCCTGACAGCATTTAAATGTTGTGATGTTAGAGGAGAATTAAAGGTACTCTGAAAAAATTTCTCTGATTTATTCTTTGTTAGTTAAAAATAAGTTAGTGGCCTGTTTTTAGAGAAATACATGCTCTGCATAGTTCATTTAAAAGTAGTACTTTTTTCTTTCACTTAATGAACTCCAGTTTCACAATACTGTTTGAAAGAAACACTGCTTGAAAAGGCAACCTGCTTCCACTGAATTACATATCAGCAGAGCCAGGGATGACTTCTTGAGTTTATCTAGGTTGACCCCCTCTATTTTCCTCTGCTTTTTACCACAGCATTGCCAGTAACACCTTACCTTTTTCATCCATGAAGATCTGTAGTAATGGCATCTTAAGGACACTCATTAAAAATTTGTGACGCTGGCCAATTACTCTTATCATAAAAATCAGTTCAAACCTTTCTTTAGCTTGGATCTTTCCTCTGAGACTCTACAAGACAGTGAACACTTCTGTTCTTAAATAATTTTAGTCTAAATATATATGTAGCCAGCATAATTTACCTCCAAGACTACCTTTTCTTGACTCATAAATCTGGCTTTATTTTGTTTATCAGGAGATTCCTCTAGTTCAGAGAAAGGGATTTAATATCACAATTCCTAAATATGCCCCATGGCTTTATATCATTGTACCAACTATAATTAAAAAAATCTTTCTAACCTTTCATTAAACTCATAAAAGAGAGGAAAATAATTAAATAGTTTGAAAGAAAAATGTGAGGCTTATTTAAACCATTTCCAATATTATTTTTTCCTCCAGCTGTATATAATTTACTTTGTTACAGAAGATTTCTGTTTGACAGTCTTTTAAAATTGCATTAATGATGTATTATATTTTCTTCTGGAGAATAAAAAGGAGGAAAAGTTAATCTTGAGTCCAGTACTCCCTCCTTTAAAGAGAAAATAACATAAACTGACAGAAAGAAGAGACAGAGAATAATAAATATGATTCTGCCTTTTGATGATCTCTCTTGCTTGCAATTTTACTGCTGGGAAATTACACCTCCAGCACATCGTCTTATGAACCACTCCAAAACCTGTAAATTATTTACAAGCTTCATGCTGTCTAAGCTGTCTTTTCTTCAGTATTTCTAAGAATACTGCAATAGGTGGATTCTTCTTTCCTACATAATCAACACCCTTTTTAGACAAGAGGCAGACCCAAAAAAGACACAATAAAGGAGAAACAGTGAAATACAGGAAAGAGAACGAAGGAGAAACAAACTCAAAGCTCAGACTTTTGTCTGCATAACAAACAATTTTGTATGATGGATAAAACTGTATTAGGAGCTTTGACAATTTAAAATATATTTTAATTATAGGCTTTTGCATGACAGGTTCTTCATCCCATGCTTTATCTGCTGTCAGTTTTCATTCTTCTTCATTTTAGATGTACGTTTGTGTCCATTGACTTAATTTTCTCTAAATGGTAACATTTTGTCTTTTTGCTTGTACTTCTGATTGAAAATTTAAATTTTCCATAAACACAAAAAATAATGGAAGAACACATATGTAATTTTGAAATAGCATGCATATACTGCAAAGCTAATTCTACCAAAAATCCCACAACCTAAACCCAGAGTGGCTTTTCGTAGCCCAGCCCAGTTCCTAATTTTTCATTTGAGTATAATAGAGCTTTGATCAAAACAGCATGAAAATTTAACAAACAGCCTTGATTTATTAACATAATCTAGGACAAATTAATAGCAAAATCTGGGCCAACAGACACCTCACGAAGCTCAACAAGAACTGCAATATTCTGCATCTGGGAAGAAATGTTCAAGTCCAGGTTGGATGAGGCTTTGAGCAACCTGGTCTACTGTAAGGTGTCCCTGCCCATATCAGGGGGGCTAGAACTCGATGATCTTTAAGGTCCCTTCCAACCCAAACCATTCCATGATTCTATGATAAATCATCCCTTGCCCCAGTACCAGCTGTGAAATG